GTTGTTGCCCAGGCTGGAGTGCAATGGCACAATCTCAACTCACTGCAACCTCCGCCTCCCAGGTTCAAGTGATTCTCCTGCCTCAGCCTCCCAAGTAGCTGGGACTACAGGTGTCCACCACCACACCCAGCTAATTTTGTATTTTTAGTAGAGATGGAGTTTCTCCATGTGGTCAGGCTGGTCTTGAACTCCTGATCTCAGGTGATCTGCCCACCTTGGCCTCCCAAAGTGCTGGGATTATGGGCATGAGCCACCGCACCCAGCCTCTTTACCTTCTTATGTCTTTTCTTAGATGTCTTCTTTTCAGGGAGGCCTTCCCTAATCACCTTATGTAAGACTGAACACCTAAATACACACACCCTGACACACACACACACACACACACACACACACACACACCCTCTTAATCCGTTTCCTTGCTTTGTTTTCGTGCTTAGCGCTTATCACCATCTTCTTCACTATAGTTTTATTTACTTACCCTGTTTATTGTTGGTCTTCACTACCAGAAAGCAAGCTCTCTGCAGGCGGGGATTTTTCACTACTGTTTGTTCATTATTGTATCCACAGCACCTGCCTGGCACAAAGGAGGCGCCCAATAAGTATCGTTGAATGAGCGAGTAAATAAATGAATGAGTGAATGATACGCCAAGATTTAATCCTTCCCACCTGTCCAGGTACATGTCTCACCTTTCCCCTGCTCACCTTTGCATGCCAGGGCACATGGGACACTTGAGTTCCTGGCACGCCCTAGTGTCATTTACCCTTCTTAGCCTTTATGCTGTGCCCTCATCCTCCTGGCTGGAGTCCCAGTCATTTTTATTAGTTTTTTTTGAGACAGAGTCTCATGCTGTCACCCAGGCTAGAGTGCAGTGGTACCATCATAGTTCACTGCAGCCTGAAACTCCCAGATTCAGGCAGTCTCCCAAGTAGCTGGGGCTACAGGTGCACACCACAACATTTAGCTATTATTATTTATTTATTTATTTATTTTTTTGAGACAGAGTTTCGCTCTTGTTACCCAGGCTGGAGTGCAATGGCGCGATCTCGGCTCACCGCAACCTCCGCCTCCTGGGCTCAGGCAATTCTCCTGCCTCAGCCTCCTGAGTAGCTGGGATTACAGGCACACGCCACCATGCCCAGCTAATTTTTTTGTATTTTTAGTAGAGACGGGGTTTCACCATGTTGACCAGGATGGTCTCGATCTCTTGACCTCGTGATCCACCCGCCTCGGCCTCCCAAAGTGCTGGGATTATAGGCCTGAGCCACCGCGCCTGGCCTTAGCTATTATTTTTAAAATTTTTGTAGCGATTGCTCCAGGCCACCACTGCCTCTCAGCTGCACCACTGCACCGTGTCCTGACTGTCTCCCTCCATCTTCTCCGGCCCTTGCAATCATCTTCACCACAGAAGCAGAGAAGTTATGAGGATGGCAAAGGGCAGACTGGCATTCAAAGCCAATGTGGAGGGGAGAGTTGGGTCCATGAGTCTGGATTTCAAGGAAGAGGTCTGGATTTAAGATACAAATGTCAGAGTCACTGGGTGGGTGGCTCATGCCTGTAATCCCAGCACTTTGGGAGGCCAAAGAGGGCAGATCACTTGAAGTCAGGAGTTTGAGACTAGCCTGGGCAACATGGTGAAACCCTGTCTCTACTAAAATTACAAAAAAATTAGCCAGATGTAGTGGTATGCTCCTGTAATTCCAGCTCCTTGGGAGGCTGAGGCACAAGAATCGCTTGAACCCAGGAGGTGGAGGTCGCAGTGAGCCGAGATCGCACCATTTTACTCCAGCCTGGGTAACAGAATGAGACTCCATCTCAAAAATAAATAAATAAATAAAAATTAAATGAAAATGTGGGAGTTGCCAGGGTAAAAACATTTAAACACTGGTTGAAATCACCAAGGGAGTAAGTCTAGAGCAACAAGAGAAAAGGACCCAGGACTAAGCCCTGGAGTGCTTATTATTCAGAGTTTGGGGAATTGCAGGTGTCCACTATGATGCCCAGGCTGGTCTTGAACTCCTAGCCTCAAGTGATCCTCTAACCTCGGCCTCCCAAAGTGCTGGGATTACAGGTATGAGCCACAGCACCCGGCCTGGATCTCTGGTCTTTAATATTCCTCTCAAGCAGGTGTCTGCTAACACCAAATGAAACTCATGTGCCCGCTTCTCACCAAGTTTTTATGCTTTTTTCCTACTTAACACACATTGCACTGGACTTTTGGAGTCTTTTTTTTTGAGACGCAGTTTTGCTCTTCTTGCCCAGGCTGGAGTGCAATGGTGCCATCTCAGTTCACCAAAACCTCCATCTCCCAAGTTCAAGCGATTCTCCTGCCTCGGCCTCCCGAGTCGTTAGGATTACAGGCATGTGCCACCACGCCGGCTAATTTTGTATTTGTAGTAGAGACTGGGTTTCTCCATGTTGGTCAGGCTGGTCTCGAACTCTCGTCCTCAGGTGATCTGCCTGGCTCAGCCTCCCAAAGTGCTGGCTTACAGGCATGAGCCACTGCACCAGGCCTTGGAGTCTCTTTTCTTAGCTGTCTCCTCCGCCACTCTGGGAGCCCCCTTGGAACAGGAACCTCATCTTATTTCATCTTCTTGGCTCAGTGCATGAACTTGGTTCAGTGCGTGGGTCACAATACCTGATAAACCCACTTTAGAAATGGTGAGTGTGAGGTATTAGGCTAGAGTCGGGCACAGGGCAGACAAGGACTCTCAATCTGTTCTCTCAGACTCCAGATTCTAACTCCTTCACCTGAACATGAGCCCGTCCCTTCTGTTCCCAAGCCTCGATTTCCTTTTGTTTTTGTTTTTTCAGTTTTTACTATTTGCCTCGATTTCCTTAGACAGATTTAAGCCGTTGAATTGACTAACAACCATCCTACTCCAACCTACTGGGCAAATTGCCTGCTCTAGGGTCAAACACTATCCAATTTCAGTTTCCAAACTTCATAAAAGGGAAATTCTAAAAGCTGAGAATCGAAACTGACAGCAGAGAGATAGACTCGATGACAGGCTTTTTAAGGTGGCCCCAGATATTCCGACCTCAGCCCAGCGTCCTCCTGTGCCTCTACTCAGTGAGGTAGTCTCCAAGAAAGGGGACCCCGAGTCAGCCCATCACACCTGGTTTCCTATCTGCTAGGGTCATTCATCCCACGGAGCACTGGAGGGCAGCTGAGGAGGAGCCGCCTTAACAAAGGGGTTGTGTGCCAGGGAGCTGGGTAGGTGTCTGGCTATATATCTGCCCAGCGGAGGTACTCTGGGTACAAAGATGGCACTGACACAGGAGCTGTATGCCACACCAGCCTCCAGGCTGGACTCCTTCGTGGCTCAGTGGCTGCAGCCCCACCGGGAGTGGAAGGAAAAGGTGCTGGACGCTGTGCGGACCGTGGAGCAGTTTCTGAGGCAGGAGCATTTCCAGGGGGAGCATGGGCTGGACCGGGATGTGCGGGTGCTGAAGGTGATCAAGGTAAGACTGGGCTCCTCCAGTCCCCCACGCAGGACAAAACCCACTAGCAGAGTCCATGTCCCTGAGGATGCTGGGGACGCCTGTCCTCCTGATCCCTTGCCCATGCTGATGACATCTCAGGACACCCCATCCCACCTGGCTGTCTACACCTCACTGCACCACTGCCTTCAGCAGAATGAGTCTAATAATAATACTCACATTTGGGGCCTCACTAGCCTAACCTTTTCATATATACACTGTCTCTAATTCTTGCACCCTGTGAGATAGGTACTATTGGTTTTTTTGCAGGGGTGGGGGTGGTTTGTTTTTGTTTTGAGATGGAGTTTCACTCTTGTTGCCCAGGGTGGAATGCAATGGTGCGATCTCAGCTCACTGCAACCTCCATCTCCTGGGTTCAAGAGAAGCCTCCCGAGTAGCTGGGATTACAGGCATGCGCCACCATGCCCGGCTAATTTTGTATTTTTGCTAAGACAGGGTTTCTCCATGTTGGTCACGCTGATCTTGAACTCCCGACCTCAGGCAATCCACCTGCCTCAGCCTCCCAAAGTGCTGGGATTACAGGCGTGAGCCATTGTGCCTGACCTAAGATAGGTACTATTCTTTACAGATTAGCAAAATGGAGGCTCAGAACTAATACAAAGCGAGGTCCTTAGTTGGATCCTGGTGTGAATGAACCATCTGTAAAATATGGTTTGGGAACAATGGTGGAATTTCCATATGGCCTAGATATCAGACAGTGTATATATCTGGTGTAGGAAATTGTTGATTTTTGTTAGGCATAACAGTGGTTGTGTGGTTATCAAGGAGAAAGTTCTCTTTTGTTTGGACACAAACACTGACGTATTTAGGGACAAAGTTCCTTGGTGTCTGTAATTTACTTTAACGTGGCTTAGATTAAGCAAATGCAGACAGAAGTTGAGACTTGTTGAATCAACTAGTTGGGTATATGAGTGTTAGTTGTATCATCTTTCTATTTTTCCAAATGTTTTACCTTTTTGTAATAAAATGAAATTATTTTTTAGAGACAGGGTCTCGCTCTGTCACCCAGGCTGGAGTGCAGTGGCACAATAACGGCTCACTGCAGACTCCACCTCCCTGGGCTCAGGTGATCCTCTCACCTCAGCCTCCCAAGTAGCTTGGGGCTGCAGGCTTGCACCACCATGCTCAGCTAATTTTTGTATTTTTTGTAGAGACAGGGTTTCACCAATGTTGCCCATGCTGGTCTCGAACTTCTGGGCTCAAGAATATGCCCACCTCAGCCTCCCAAAGTGCTGGGATTACAGGTTGTGAGCCACCACACCTGACCAGTAAAATGATTTTTTAAATGGAGGCTCAGAGAAGTGAGGTGACTTGCCCAAGGTCACACATGAATGTTGAAGCTGGGATTTGAGCTTGACTCAAGGGATCCAAGCCCCCCTCACTGAGATTTTTCTCCAATCCCTTCCTCCAGCTGTTTCATGCCACCTCCTGTGCTAGCTAGGATCAAATTCAAAAGGGTCAGAGCTAGAAAGGCTTTGGAGGATCAGACAGTCTCACCAATCCCTCACTTAAATATTAAGTAAACTGAGGCACAGAGAGATATCCCAAGATCATACAGCAAGTTGGTGGCAAAGGCAAGACTAGAATTAAGACTCCTGACTCCCAGCCCAGTGATCAAGTTCTCTCTCTGAGGGTAACCAACTCACAGAGGGACCTAGTCGCCGCAGGCCCCTATCTGTTCTTTGCACCTATCCCCAGCATATGAAGCCTGAGACCATATAGTTTATAAGTGAGAAAGCATAGATTTTGATATCAGACAGACTCTTCGCTTCTTCCCTTACCAGCTGCGTGGCTTTGCTTACCACTCTTATTTCTCAAAGCCACAATCTTCTCATCTGTGATTGGGGCATCATCATCCTCATGTCTCCCTCACCAAGCCAATGGTGCAATGCAGGCTGAATGACTGGTGCGTGATACATGCTCAGAAAAAGCAGCATCATTCTAATTCCTGCCAAGCTTTCTTCCAGGCCTGAGACACAAGTCTGACTCCGGCAGGCCCTCCCAGACCACCCCCTCCCCAACAACCCTGAGAATAAAGTGGAAGGAATAAGGAGTGTCTGGTAAGACAAGGATGCTACAAGAATGAGTTTTTTTGTTTTTGTTTTTACTTATTTATTTTTGAGACAGAATCTTACTCTGCTGCCCAGGCTGGATGACAGTGGCACACTCTCGGCTCACTGCAACCTCCGCCTCCAGGGTTTAAGAGATTGATTCTCCTGCCTCAGCCTCCCGAGTAGCTGCTATTACAGGGGTGCGCCACCACGCCCGGCTAATCTTTGTGTTTTTAGTAGAGGCAGTGTTTCACCATGTTGGCCAGGCTGGTCTTGAACTCCTGACCTCAAGTGATCCAACCACCTCAGCCTCCCAAAGCGCTGGGATTACAGGCGTGAGCCACTGAGCCTGGCCGAGAATAAGTTTTTACAGCAGGAAATGCTATTTACCTTCCTGCACATCATAGCCACTTCTCCCCTTGAAACCACTAAATGGCAGCAATCCCCAGAGAGCCATGACTAATGAGAAATGATATATCTTATTTAGAGTCTAAATCCTCTCTTTCCCTACCCCCTGAAAATCTAGTGAGCAGAGGGGCTCCACATAAGGGAATGCTTCAAATGAATTGTGCCTAAATAGGTTTAAAACCGAAGTAAATTAGGAAGCCTGTTCTGGATGTGTTCTTTTCTCTGCCTGGATCTTACCATTGGGAAAGGCAGAAAGGGAAGTCCAGGCCAGGCTCGGTGGCTCGCACCTGTAATCCCAGCACTTTGGGAGGCCAAGGCGGGAGGATTGCTTGAGCCCAGGAATTTGAGACCACCCTGGGCAAAATGGTGAGACCCCTGACTCTACAAAAAAATATAAAAAATTAGCTGGGCATGGTGGTTCGTGCCCATAGTTCCAACTACTCAGTTCCAGCTGAGGTGGGAGGACTGCGTAGACCCAGGAGGCCGAGGCTTCAGTGAGTGAGGATTGTGCCATTGACTCCAGCCGAGGCAATAGAGCAAGACCCTGTCAAAAAAGAAAGGAAAGTCTAGACATGGCTTTTGGGGGTTATGTCCTTCATTCACACACCGGGTGCCACCTCCAACCCTCTCCTATGGGGTGGGAGTGCTGGGTCGGAATGCCCATGGTACCTTGGAAGCAGGGCCTGGCTCACAGCCTTGGGTCACAAGGAAGAAAGAGGTGGAAGAACCACTCACGACTTGAATTCTGGCTCTTTCGCTGACTCCACTGCCTCCTGGCTGGGAGACCATGGCAAGCTGATTAACTCCACACTGCCTCAGCTTTCTCATCTGTACATTGGAGAGAATTCTAGTACCCACCTCAATATGGGAAGTGAAGTTTTTTTTGGAGGGGGTTGTGTTTTTTTGAGATAGAATCTCACTCTGTTGCCCAGGCTGGAGTGCAGCAGTGAGGTCTTGGCTCACCACAACCTCTGCCTCCTGGGTTCAAGCGACTCTCCTGCCTCAGCCTCCCCAGTAGCTGAGATTACAGGCACTCACCACCACACTCAGCTAATTTTTGTATTTTTATTTTATTTTATTATTTTTTCTTTTAGCTGCTGATCACAGAGAATTTTTTTTTCCTTTTAATTTTCTTTTAATTTTTGTATTTTTAGTAGAGACAAGGGTTTCACCATGTTGGCCAGGCTGGTCTCGAACTCCTGACCTCAGGGGATCCATCCACCAAGGCCTCCCAAAGTGCTGGAATTACAGGCGTGAGCCACCGAGCCTGGGCAGGAAATGAAGATTAGAAGGAATAATTGTATACAGGGCTCTCAGGGGTGCCAGACGCAGGGCGTGCTCAGCCTGTATTGTGTCATCTGGCGACAGCTGGATTCTGATTCATGTGCAGTAACTCTATCCACCAGGAAAAGTAGCCCACTGCGGGTCTGATGCCTCCCTAGCAATTCCGCCTCCCAACACAGAATGAGGAGAGGAGGACAGATAGTTGCGGGGCTTTGCATACCAGAGGCAACAGTGCCTGGAGAGCTCGTCTAGAATTTCCAAACATTAAAAAATCCCTTCAAAATTATCCATCTCGACCCCCTTCCATTACTGACGGGAAAACCGACCCCCCCGGGGCAGCAGAAGGAATTGTCTAAGTCAGCTAGATAATGAGGAGGAAGAGGCGCATGTTGCTGACTTCCTGCGTGCCGGGCACCCCACCAAACCCCTGGCATACATGATTTCATCAGATCCTCCCAGTAGCCCAATGACTCATGTCCCAGCATTACTTTCGTTTTACAGGTGAAGATCTTAAGAGTCAGAATGTTTACCCAGATAAGAAACAGGGAAGAGGGCCAGGAGTGGTGGCTCTTGCCTGTAATCCCAGCACTTTGGGAGGTCAAGGCAGGCAGATCACCTGAGGTCAGGAGTTCAAGACCAGCCTGACCAACATGGAGAAACACCCTCCCTACTAAAAATACAAAATTAGCTGGCTGTGCTGGCAGGCGCCTATAATCCCAGCTGCTTGGGAGGCTGAGGCAGGAGAATCACTTGAACCCAAGAGGCGGAGGTTGCAGTGAGCCAAGATAGCGCCACTGGTCTCCAGCCTGGGCACAAAAGCGAAACTCCATCTCAAAAAAAAAAAAAAACCACGCACACAGGGAAGAGTCAAGATCTTTTTCAGGCTGCCCCATTTCACAGCCTATGGATCTTAAATGTACTAGGCAAACTTCCTCTTGCTTTATAATGCCATGAAATTACTCAGGCCCCCCACGCCCAGAATTCTCAAACAACCCTACAGAGTAAATGCTATCATTCCTCTGCAGCTGGCCTTACTCTGTGGATAAGAAGACTGGGTCTCAGAAGCAATGCAGTGTCATAGACAAGAGGCTGGGCACTTTGGGAGGCTGAGGGGGGCAAATCTCTTGAGTCCAGGAGTTGGAGATCAATCCTGGACAACATAGCAAAACCCTATCTCTACAGAAAATATGAAAATTAGCCAGGCATGGGGGCACAGGCCTGTAGTCCTAGCTACTTGGGAGGCTGAGGTGGGAGGATTGCTTGAGCCAAGATCGCGCCACTGCAGTCCAGCCTGGGCAATGGGAGTGAACTGTCACACACAGAAAAAAGAGGCTGGGCTCTGAGGGCTGCAAACCGTGAGATCTGGGACAAGTGACTAATGAGGAGAAAGAGCAATGTGTTGCTGACTTCCTGTGTGCCAGGCACCCCACCAAACCCCGGCATACATGATTTCATCCGATCCTCCCAGCAGCTCAGTGACTCATGTTCCACCATTACTTTCATTTTATGGGTGAAGGTTGTAGGAGTCAGAATGTTTACCCAGATAAGAAGCAGGAAAGAGGCAAGATCTTTTTCAGGCTGCCCCGTGTCTGGATCCCGTGTCTTGAGATCCTGGAGACATCTGTTTTCTCACCTGTGAAGTGTGGGTATCAGTCCGACCCACTACACATCCCTCAGGGGGTGTGAGCATTCAGTGAGACAGTGCATGTAAAATGCTGCAGGGGGTGCCTGGCACACTGCAGCTGGCCTCAGGGCGACGGGGTTCTGTGTTCTGCAGGTGGGCTCCTTTGGGAATGGCACCATTCTCAGGAGCACAAGAGAGGTGGAGCTGGTGGCGTTTCTGAGCTGTTTCCACAGCTTCCACGAGGCAGCCACACACCACCAAGCCGTTCTGAGGCTGTTATGGAAAGCCATATGGCAATCCCAGGACCTGCTGGCTCTCAGGCTCGAGTGCCTGAGGTTGGAGAAGAGAGTCCCCGATGCAATCGTCCTCACCATCCAGACCTGGGAGGCTGTGGAACCCATCACTGTCACCATCGTGCCTGCCTACAGAACCCTGGGTAAGGGGAGGGGAAACCCAGTGGACTCACACACTTGCCCTCCCCAGGAGACTTCCCAGTGTGTCACCTTTCACTCACAGCCACGTGCACACACCCACATTCATTCATTCCGTCTGCGTCCTGGGCTAGGGGCCGGGCTACTGAAGTGCACAGGATTCACCCAACTCTGGCTATCATGTGCTCAACTTGGAAGACAGAAATTGACCCAAGAATTGCACAGATTAATACATGGTTGCAAATGGTGTCAATGCTAAGAGGAAAAGAATGGAGTGGCCTGGGGAACCACAGAAAGGGTGCTCAGGAAGGGACTTTCTCGGGAAAGAATATTCAGGAGGCGCTGACACCCAGTGAGGGGAAGGAGCTAAAAGTGGAGTGGAGGTCTGTCACTGTGTTCTCTAGAAGCTCATCCAAAGGCAAGGGTGTGAGGACAAGCAGTTTATTCGGGTGTTAATCCCAGGGAACACTGGTGGGGAAGGATGGAATTGAGATGGGAAAGGCAGGAATTCAATACAGTGTGCATCCGTGGGCAAGTCACCACTCTGGACTTCGTGTCCTTGGAGAACTCGCAGTCATATTATAGAGCATGGCTCCATGGGATGCCAAGTGGGACGCTGGAGTGCTTACCAGCCCACCACTGGCCTGGGGCGGCTTCCGGGAGCACTAGCTCACTGGCCCCTGGTGTTTGTCCTCCGGTAGAGGCCTGGGTATTTGAAATAAACCCTATGTGCTGAAAGCCCAGATCCCAGAGGTTTCATCTCGTGTGCTAACTCCTATTAGCTGTGGTGGCTGCTGCATGGAGTTGCTTTTTGGAGAACGTATCAGACAGGATCCAATTTTAGCAAGGAGGAGAGTGCTGGGATGTCTTAGTGATGTGTACCATGGAACTGCTTCTCCCTGTGAGTATTTTCTTCTTCTTTCTTTCTTTTTTTCTTTTTTTGAGACTGAGTCTTGTTCTTTCACTGAGGCTGGAGTGCAGTGGCACGATCTTGGCTCACTGCAACTTCTACCTCCTGGATTCAAGCGATTCTCCAACCTCAGCGTCCCGAGTAGCTGGGATTACAGGCGCCTGCCACCATGTCACACCCAGCTAATTTTTGTATTTTTAGTAGAGACAGCGTTTCACCATGTTGGCCAGGCTAGTTTCAAACTGCTGACCTCAGTTGATCCACCTGCCTTGGCCTCCCAAAGTGCTGGTACTACAGGCTTGAGCCACCATGCCCAGCATCCCTATAAGTATTGAGAGGTTCCAACAGATTACCCAGAAAGAGATCCGAAACAGACATTAAATAAAACGAGGACATTGAGGACATCCAGGGAAGACAATAGTCCAGGCGTGGCCTGACGCATGGAAAGCCCCATGTTGGTTCCCCAAGTAAGAACTTCACAAAAAGGACAATTAGACAAGGCAAACCTTTGGTTTCTGAAGACAGGAGGTCTCAAGGGTCCCCGGAGGGATAACTCCAATGAATAAGCAGGCTCTCCCTCACTCCTCAGGGCCTTCTGCTCCCAACTCCCAGCCACCCCCTGAGGTCTATGTGAGCCTGATCAACGCCTGCGATGTTCCTGGAAATTTCTCCCCATCCTTCAGTGAGCTGCAGAGAAACTTCGTGAAACATCGACCAACTAAGCTAAAGAGCCTCTTGCGCCTGGTGAAGCACTGGTACCAGCAGGTGAGGGGGCTGCCCGGAGGGTGGGGGCAAGCGGGGAGAGGGAGGAGGGTGGGGAGGAAAGACGGGGCCTGATTTTCCTCTCAGGAAACTGCTCCCAGGGGAAATGGAAGTGGGTAGAGAGGGAGAGAATGCTAGTCTTTAGAAATGTAAAGTGAAACCCTCAGTGAAGACGGTGGAAAAGGAGAAGGAGAGGAGGAGGAAGAAAGAAATAGAGAAGGAAGGAGAAAAACAGGTACCAGACAGTATTTCAGTAAACTAGTTATTTTTATTTATTTTTTTTTTTTGAGGCAGGGTCTCCCTTTGTTGCCCAGGCTGGAGTGCAGCGGTGCGATCACCACTCACTGTAGCCCCCACCTCCCTGGATCAAGTGATCCTCCCACCCTAGCCTCCTAAGTATCTGGGACTAGAGGCATGCACCATCATGCCTGGCTAATGTTCTTATTTTTCTTTTGTAGAGACAGGGTCTCACTGTGTTGACCAGCCTGGTTTCCAAGTGGTCTCAAGCGATCCTTCCACCTTGGCTTCCCCAAAATGCTGGGATTACAGGCATGAGCCACCACACCCAGCCCACAGTTCTTGTAATGCTTCAGTTACAGTCTAGGACGGGCAGATGTCAACATCGCTGGGTACTGTGGCGGTTAACCACAGCAGGTTAAGGACCAACAGGTGGAAGGATTTCTTTAATTCCACCCCAGGAGTGGAAAAGAGGGCATGTGTGGGTGTAAACAGCCCCCGGGGACATTTCTCAGGCAACAGCTCCGTCCGTTTTAGAAGCAAAAATCTTCCCCCAAGATAATCAATGGACCCTCCAACTGCAAAACAAAACTCAGAGACAAAAATCATTTATTGGCCGGGCGTGATGGCTCACACCTGTAATCCAAGCACTTTGGAGGCCAAGGCGGGCGGATCACCTGAGGTCAGGAGTTCAAGA